TATTATTTCATTCATCCCCCGCCACCACCAATCCAAGCAAGCGACCTCCTGCTCCAGAACTCACCGATGCCGCCTCTTCCTTCGATCTCTCCCGGAGGTCACTAAAACCCACCAGCCTTTTCTCTCATCTTAGCAGCTCGATGATCAGCCGGAGACTTTCAAGTTTGAAGGTGGAGGCGCGGTTGCGAGTAGGGACACGAAGCACTTGGAGTCCCCTGGAGTGGAGGTGAAGGGGTTGGAAGAGATGGCCGAGCAATGGCGGAGGGCGAGATCTCTCCGACGTGGGTTGATCATGTGACGAGCCTTCCTAGCAAGATGCCATGAAATTCTGCTCCTGTTTCATTTGCAGCTTACGTTCGAATTGCAGAGTTTTGGAGCAAGTGGAAATTTTTGAGCAGATTTAGAGTTTCGTTTCGACGGATATAAGGTGAGTGTAAAGGGGGTAAATTCTACGCCTTAAGGTTTTTCAAGTATTTGCTTTGAGTATTTTTAAGGATTGATTTACGTGATGTGCGTGCAGTATTTGATTCATGTTTCATATTACATGATTATGTTTGATGATATGTGCGAGGGTTGAGCTATGATTTGAAGTGAATTCTGGATGAGTTATTTCTTACTTGAAGCTTGATGTCTATGAGTTAGTGTTAAAGTTTAAGAAACAAGTTCTTTTTAAGAAGTAACTCACCTTCAAGAAGGTGAAGTCGTTTTAAGTGTTTTTAGTCACTAGCGCCAGTCTGTTGCCTTTTGAGACATTTTTAGATAGAGCAGCAGTTTTTCTCTTGAGACTTTTAAGATGGGCAGCAATTATGCCCTTGAGAATCGTGGTGAAGAGCCACCACGATAAGTTTAAGATGTTAGGGGGATGAATCGTTACGACTTCCCTAACTAAGTTTAAGTTTAAGGAAAGCCTAGATGGCTTCTCATACGTATGAGTTGGGAAACCGGACTAGCTAGTGAGGGATCCCCGTGTCAGTCAAGTATTTAAGTCGAGATTTGAGCTTTAAGAATGGAGAGTAACAGTAACTCCCATACAGTTTTAAGAGTTAAGCTTTTCAATAAGTGGAAGTACAAAACAACTTCCACTCAGTTAAGTAAAGTAATCAAGTATTAATAAAGTGTAAACGTAAGGGCGTAGACTGACTCCATCTCACTCACCAGTTTGAAGAGCTAGAGGAGCTAGAGGATCAGTTAGTGAGTAGCGAGTTCGAGGGCGGTCATCTAGAGGAGAGCAGTATAAGCGTCACGGAGGATGCTTAGTGAAGGTTTTCAGTAGCAACAACTTTAGAGATTATTAGTTATTTACATTTTATGATTATGAGTATAGAATGGAGATCAGATTGAGATTTTAAAGTTTGAGTTTAATTTGCCCACGTGTTAGGGCTTTGCTTTGAACTACAAGTGTGTTTTCAGTATTTTATTTATGAAAATTTTTCCCGCCGCAATTTAAGGATTGAGTATTTTATTTGTCAAGGGCATTTTAGTAAAAGTAGTACCCGGCCGGGTTAGTGTGTTACATAGAACCAGTACCCACCCGAGTACAACTTCTACCAAAGCGGTGTTAGTTACCACAACTACCATTACGGAGCTGGTGAAGGTGAAGGTGCCTTTCATGATGATCATCAGATGGAAGAAGAGGTCAATCCAAGTCCAGTTAGTGACCCTGAGGTTGAAGAAGAGTAAGGCGATGTTAGTGCAAACAAGTTTGATCCTCTTGAAGGTGCTGATGATTCCGGTCCAGATTCAGACGCAGACGGTGATGAGGTACCTTGTGACCGTGTACCTATCTCGTACTACAATCACATTCCAAATGAAGATTGGTATGTTGATGCCGACATGGACCCGCCAGAGGTGCAAGTATGGGATCCACTCACTGGCTTTACGAAGTTCCAACAATTTGCAACGAAGAATGAGGTCTGGCACGCTATTGCCACTGAAGCAATGACTCGGAGTTTGAATGGCACACAACCCATTCTGACACGAAAAGGCTGATGGTTAGATGCAAAAATCAAAATGAGGGATGCAAAGCTAGGGTCTGGGCCATCAAGAGCAAGAGACAGGCCATTGGGTCATATACCGTGCGGTGAACACACACACACATGTGTGTCATCAATAACATCCCAAGGCCATCGACAATTGAAATCAAGGGTGGTTGCCGCGGCTATCAAACATCTAATTGAGGAGCAGCCCGACCTAAAGGTGAAAACCATCATTGCCGACATTTCTAATCGTTATGGTTATATCATTAACTACAAGAAGGCGTGGCATGGAAAAGTGACTGGGAAGAATCATATGCATTCCTTCCGAGATTGATTTTGGCGTTGGATGTGTCTAAACTTGGCACCATTTTCTCTCCTGGCTACCAAGATGAAGAAATTCAGCCGTCGGTGCCTGGTAACAAGCGCCATTTCAAGCGTCTTTTCTAGTCATTCATAGCATGTATTGATGGGTTTCCATTCTGTGTTCATGTGATTCAAATTGATGGATCATTCCTTACCGGCAAGTACAAGGGTACTCTACTGATCGCCAACGGAGCAGATGCAAATAGAGCAGTATATCCATTAGCCTTTGCCATTGTGGAGGGAGAGAATGCTGATAGCTATGGATGGTTCTTCAGACAAATTCAACTTCATGTCACCAGGCGGACGAACCGAACCATCATCTTAGATCGCCACACCGGTATAAGGGCTTCTATCTTAGGCTTGGATCCAGCCTAGAACTGGTCACAAAGATGGTGCATACGACATTTCAAAAGCAACTGCAGCCATCATTTCAAACGAAAGAAGCTTGCTGATAGTCTATGATGGATCGTTAAGCGTTCTATTTAATTGTTTTATATCTTTTGTTAACTGGAAAAACGAGGACTAAATCAATACAATACAACACTTATTTAGACTCTTTATAAAGTAATGCATGCCTAAGGAAATGGGGTTTTAAGCGATAATCATGATCCTCCCATTTCCTAGGGAAATCGGGTTCTAAGCGATCCTCGGATCCCCCCTTTTTCTGTCAAACAGGCTGTGTTTCTAAGGAGATGTATACCTCTCCTAAGAGTCTTACGAGTGTACTTGTATTGCTCATAATGGAAGCCTTTCTTACCTTACGCTTTTGTTCGTATATTCATCAGTTGTCGCTTACCAAGAGAAGAAATTTAAAGAGAAGATGCAGAATATCTGTCAGCTATGCCCTGAAGGTGCGCAGTGGCTTGATCAACATGACCTTGCAATGTGGACGTTTCATAAGGACGGAGGTACTATATGGGGTATTGCCACAACGAACTCAAGCGAGAGTATCAACAACGTCTACACGGAATGTCGTGCACTCCCCATCTCTGCAATTCTTGAGATGACATTCTGGAAAAAAAACACATGGTTCGTCAACCGTCTCCGCTGGTGTGAGAAGAGGGAGGCACATGGTAAGATACACTCCGATAAGGCCACAGAAATAATGGAGAAAGATAATCGGAAGAGGTCTCGGCACAAGGTCATTGTTATGAACCGAAATGCTGGCGAGTATTTGGTCAAGACTGGGCACTAGGAGGATGGGAGACGTGGGGGTCATTGCCATGAAGTCACCGTCAACTTTAGGACTAAAAGAGGGGAGTGCTCTTGTCAGAAGTATAAGAATAGAGGTATACCTTGTTCCCATGCAATGGCTATAATAAAGCACAGGAGCAAAGACCCTCGTCATTTCGTCAGTCCGCTCTTCAACATCGACTCACAAAAGACCAGTTATCGTAAGAGTTTCCGTGCATTGCCGGATGAAGCTTACTGGCCAGTTTATGAGGGTAAGGTCATCATCCCACCAATCGGTCTTAGGCGAGAAATAGGTCGCCCGCGGGTAACGGGTAAAAGGGATTCCAAATGAGATGGATCAAAGTGGAAGACCACCACGAGGGCCAAGGCGGTGTTCCATATGCAAAGTAACAGGGCATGATAAACGAAAATGTCTTTGACCAATTGGTCCTCAAAATCCAGGGCTCGATGTGGTGAACCCGGATAATGGCGCATAGATTGATTTCATGCATTTTCACAGAGTCTATTAATTTCAATGGTTACGTACTTGTATTTTGTGTGCTTAAATGGCATTGGAGATTTGCAAAATTAACACACTTCGATGCAATGTTCCATCTTTTTGAATAAACACATCACTCACACAAACACACTTCTACATGATGTAAAAAATAACTTCAAATAAAAACAACTTGTTTAACTTAAACAAAACATAACTTGAAATAAACACAACTTGTCACACTAATGCATTATTTCGACGATTTGCCCTCTGTTTCCTTGTGCGATGGGCGACTGGTCCACCGGGTGTAATAGGGGTTGGAAGTGGTGGAAGATTCCTATTTGCCATAGAGGGGTGTTGGTCCGTGCTATGCCGCCGCGGTGCCGTACTAGGTGACCCCTCCGTGTGCGGTCGAGGACTATCCACGCACATACGGTGGGGAGTGGACTGCCATTGTTTTTGCGGTCGATGCAAAGGTGAGAAGTCTTGGTGGGGACTTGAGTATGAACCATCGGCCCAAGTAGCAGAGGATGTGGTGTTATGAAATGTACTTGGCCGGGAATCATAGTGGAAACCGGGCCGGAGATTGTATTGGAAACTCGATCGGGGATCATAATGGTAACCGGGCGTGGGATCGTAGTGGAAACTGGGGTGAGGCTCATGTTGAGTACTGGAGTCGTAGAAAGCACTCGGTCGCGGATCATAGTGAAAACTCGACCGGGGTTCATACTGAGTACTCAAACCTGCACCGTTGCACACCTCCAATGGAGTAGGCACCTTCAACGCCTCAATTGGCTTGATCTCGAGCACGTGAGGTCGATCCCTTGTAGCCTTGTTTGGCCTTTTATGGACCGGCGGAGGCACGTGGGGGACATTTCCATCACCGATCGCGGTGTAACTGGGGGAACTAACGGATATCTGTGATGGTCATGGGAGCGCGCTATCATACAGCCAAGGAGACGGTTCGCTATCCTTTGAATGAGCCCCACCTCTCAACCCACAGCCGAAGGATCTACAATACGACCGAGGTTGTGTATACGCTCGATGCCATCAACCTAAATCACAAAAAATAACAACGTTATCCATTTAAGTAGTAATGCACCGCATTCCTAAATATATTGATGCTCAGGAGTAAATAAATTAATATGATTGAATTACTTACCAAAGCTCCGTCCGCCGCACCTTTGAGGGTCATGTAACGAACATATTGTCTTCGGTATATTTCCATGTATGGGTCATGGTAGCCCATCCGCCCCACATCTGATGCCGTCACAATATCCTGATCTTGCCTAACGTTCCACAGAGCGATCAATTCTTCAAACTCCTGGGGCCAATTAGTAGATCCTTGTCGACCATCTTTCCCATGGTACCGCCTCTGACTTGCCAGGACTTCCAATGGTAGGGGTTGCTCACGTCCGAATTGTCGTAGACATCGATTCGGCAAGTGCACCATTGAGCGGGATGCAACGAGAACTTGTGGACGTGATGCGCGACGATGCGTTCTGGATACGGATCAAACTTAAGCTGCGAAGGTGCAGAAAAATGGACCATTAAGAAACATAATAATATAAGTTGAAAATAAAGCAGGAAGTAATAGTGTATTATGATGGTTACCTCTGCTTCCCAAAGGCGATCCAGCCTCCTACTATACTCCTCCAACTTATGCGCTCCTAGGTTGTGGCATGTTTTTTCACCAAGCCCCCTATTAATTCCTAAAATTACATCATGTTAATACATACTAAAAATTTCGTTATAAAATACTGAATTAGTAAAAAAAAGGTGAGAACTATGAGTGAGATAGAAAATATTTACCTACAACCATAAGCTTCATGTCGTAGGGGATGGTCGGGTCCCCATTCCTTGTCGGGGTCTACCTTCGGCGCAATCCATGGCAAATGCTCCGAATTCCAAAATTGGACGATGAACATGGCCCCATCAATCTCCTTCACCGCTCTCGCACTAGCATTACAGAGGGAGCGGTAGAGGCAGATGCCCAGCTCAGGTTTCTCATATCATCCCAATCTCCAAGTATGATCTTCAACCATGAATTGCTTATCAAATTGTTGGATTTCTTGGGGAAGAAAACTCCTTCGATCATGCCGAGGATGTAGATACGTGCATAAATGTCTTTATCACGCTCAGAACTTTATCACGCATCGTGATCTCCCTTTTCTGGAGGACACAACCCGGTGACGGTCCATATAAAATGCTGCCAACCACTCATATTGGCAACAACTTTACGTGGTGGCGTAGAGTCCACACAAATAACATCGCCATCGATGGGCAAATCGGTTAAGATGGCAATGTCCTTAAGTGTGATGTTGCACTCGCCTTCACGAAAATTGAAGCAATGTGTCTCCTTTCGCCATCTCTCTACCAACGCTGTGATCTGTTGGCGGTCGATCTTTATTCCATTAAAGTGCCTAACCGAATCCAATCTTGCCCTTTTTAGAAAGGGCAAGATGACGTCGTTCCATTCAAGCACATTCGTCGTACCCGTATAGCGGACTATATGGTATGCATCCTAAAGAAGAATTTAACTTTCACTATAAGTTGATGATTTATACATATATAAATCTATTATAATAAACAATATTAATTAAATCAAGGTTGTTTTAGAGAAATATACATTATCTAATAAACATTAATTTTGACATAACTAAAATCATTTTCGAAATTTAAGTACAATTATTTTTTGTACACATACACATAAAATCAAATATATTATTTTGTACATCGTATTGATTATTTTCAATAATTTAAAGCAATACAAGTACAATCGTAAGATTCTTAGGAGAGCTATACATCTCCTTAGAAACAGTCTTTTTGACAGAAAAAGGGGGATCCGAGGATCGCTTAGAACCCGATTTTCCCAAGTCATGGGAGGATCATGATGATCGCTTAAGAACATGCATTTCTTTATAAAGAGTCTAAATAAGTGTTGTATTGTATTGATTTAAATTATTAAAAATAATCAATACGATTAAAAATTAAGTAATTTATTGTACAAACAAATAAATTACGTTAACAAAATAAAAATTACAAGTGATGATAAATAATATGTACCTTGTGGTCGTTCCAAACGTCTCTTGAACGATGATTGTCTTGATCGTATAAAATCTTCGGATCAATCGGTCCTTGATCAACATAATATCGTTGATTGTATATATCAACATCCGGCCCAACCTATGATAGCATAACAACAACATAAATCAATTAGTATATAGATTAAATAAACCATTATAACAACAACAAAAATTGGGTAAAATGAGTACGTACCGCTTGATAATCATCATAGTAAATACCCTCTTCTTGGATAAAATCGGCCAGTTTTTCAGAATCCGGACAGAGATTCGACGGTTTTTTAGTGAAAACCAAAGAAATTTTTTTTTAAAGGTAGATCGGACTTAGCCGCAACCAACAAAACAACTACTTCCAAGGTTTTTGCGTGGGGAGGGGGATGGGTAGAGTGAGAGTGAGGAACTTAGAGAGAGAGAGAGATGAGAATGGGGGGTTTGGTGTGTAGAAAATGGGAGGAAGGGGTGGGTTTATATAGGGACGAAACCGCGTGCTGGAGGGGCGGTTGGTCTTTTTACCCCAAGCAAAACCGCACCTCCAGCACACGGTTTACGTTTCCCAACGCGCAAACCGCGCTTCAGGGAAACTGTTTTCGTGTGCGACGTGGATCGCTGCGCTGGCAGGGGGTTAGGCCGTCAGATCGCCTGTCCATCGCGCGGTTGCATGGCCGCCACGTGGAGGCGCGTTTTGACAGCTATGAAGGGTCAAACCACCCCTTGCACGCGCGGTTTGACTGAGAACCGCGCCTTCGAGGCGCGGTTTATGGGAAAGGGTGGTATTTTTGGAAATTCTTGAGAATGGGTGGTATTTTTGTAATTTTTTTCAAAACGGTGATAGTTTTGGATTTTTTCCTAAGAAAGATCCCTTTTTAATCTATGTTTTGAAAATCAAAGTCTGAATTTCACTTTCAATGAACTATAGTGGCAAATCATAACTCGTAAGGCTATATGGTTAGGGTATAAGGTATATGGTTTAGGATATATGTTTAGGGTATATCAAATATCCCTTTTTAATCTATGTTTTGAAAATCAAAGTATGAATTTCACTTTAAATTAACTATAACAGCAAAATGGTAACTCATAATGATATATGGTTAGGGTATACCAAATATCACTTTTAATCTATGTTCTGAATCAAAATATGATTTTCACTTTAAATTAACTATAGTGGCAATTTAGATTTCTTCACAACAAGTTCACTAACATTAAGATAAATAAAAGCATAAGTTTTGAAAACCCCAAATGTATAATTAAAATTAAAGTTCACTACACCACTTTCTCGCACAAGTTAGATTTCTCCCCACTTTACCCTCCCCAATTTAGATTTCTCTTCAAAAAATTTCTCATTTCCTCCCCCTCAAATTTAGATTCCCCCAACACACAATTTTACTTATATATTTTTATGATACACTATATAATTTGTGGTTGGATTAACTATTGGATGAAAAAATAAAAATGTTTATATCACCATAACTATGATCTAGTGTACTTTCCCCATTTACAATTAATTACATGACAAGTTTGCAAATCATACAATATTATTCAATTTTTTTAACTTCAATAAGTACATATAATATATTACATATACGATGTGAAAAGAAATATTGTAAAAATTATGATTTTAAAAAAAATGGTTAATAAAATGTGCATATTGTAGTAATGAGTAGGGCTGGAAATCCGGTTACAGTTTTTCGGTCAAACCGAAAACCGGCCAATTTAAACCATCCCGGTTGCAACCGGAAACCGGATACAACCCAGTCCGATCCGGATTCCAGTTGCTAGTATTTGGAGAAAAACCGTACCAGATATAACCCGGTTAAAACAGGGAAAAACCGAAAAACTGGATCAGCCTAGCCTTGCACCCAACCCAACCCTGAAGCCCAAATCCCCTCTCAAATATAGGCCCATTCAAACACAAAAGCCCAAATATTTCAAAACCCTAATCGTCAAGGTCATCCAATCTGATACTCACGAACTCACCTATCTTGCCGCCTCCCATAGACTGGTCTTGAAGAAGAAGACGAGCGGTCGAAATCTCCGCTCAACCATCGAAGCAGCCGCTGACTTTTCTCTCCTCCCCGACGGCACCGAGTTGCCCCTTCTGGTCGTGGTCGAGGTCTCCTCACTGCTTTGGGCAACGACGACGGTGATAGGGACGACAATGGAGACGACGATTTCAGAGTTGAAACCGCCCCCGATTTGAAGGCGGTGGTGGTGCATGCAAGGGAAGTCGCACTTCTGTTCACGATTTGTATGACGGTGGCGGTGTATGCAGGTGTTGTCGCACTCTTGTTGTCAATCGCCATCTCCGGACTAAGATTGGAGGCTCTACTTGCCAATCGGTGGATATATCGTGTATGGAGGAAGAGGATGCGGGGCCGGCAAGCACAACTTCGGGGAGATATCACAGCGGAGAGGGAGGTGGGAAGATGAAGAAGGAAAGGTGATGGATGGATGAACTCGGAAGTAGAATCGGAGCTAGGGATTAGAGATGGAGAATATGGATTGGGATATTTTACCAGAAGAGAGCGGCGGCAAGAGACTAGGGGATGGGGTTTTGTCAGGGTAATTGGGGATTTTGTGAGTGTGTACCGAGTGGGAGGTGAGAGTTAATTTTTCTTTACCAATTTTGTTTAAACGCCAGTGTTTTTGGATAGGGAATAAACAAATCCGGCTTTTGGTCAAAACCGGACCAACCCGTTTTGTATCCAATTCGTTTTGGTTAAAACAGGGTCATAATCCAATTTCGTCTTCGGTCATGAGATTGTTCAATACGATTTCAAAAAATCGGGTCAATCCGGTCCGGTTTAAACCGAACTGGACTGTTTCCCAGCCCTAGTTATGAGTAGGAAGTAAATAACTCAATGTGCTGACCCCAAAAACCCGCAACCCGAACCGCCCACAACCCATTCGACCCACAACCCAATGGACCTGGAATCTGATTGATCCGGAACCCGATTGACCCAGAACCCGATTGAACTGGAACATGATTGACTCGGAACCCGACTAACCCAGAACCCGATTGACCCGTAGCCCGACTAACCCGCAACTCGACTAAACCGAACCCAAAAAACCCACAACCTAATAAACCGTAACCCGAATAACCCGTAACCCGATTGAACCCAACCCAAATCCGCTAAAACCTGTTTGATTGGCACTTCTATTTTTTTCCCTTCCGCCATTGTGGATGGTGTTAAGTACCCTCCAAATATTCCCTTTGTTCCCGCCTTCCAAAATTTTTTATTTGATAACCTAAGGAACCTCAGCCCCACGTGCCGCTTGAGCGACAACAGGGCCTACTAAACCACTGGAGTTACCTACATACTAACCGAGACTTTCTGCTCCAGCCTTCCAGAATAGACCCGTTCTTTTTGAATCCTGCTACGAATCCTCCGATTAACACAAATTCAACCGCTCACACCGCTTCCCGAAAAAGTAACCACATCGAACGGTGGAGAATTAACTCTCGCCAATTCTAGAGATACCACAAGGCACAAACTATGCGGGTGGTTAAGGCTAGAGCTTTCGTTTCCTTCCTTCCTTTTTTTTTTTTTTTAGAACCTTTCCTTTCTTTTCAGCCGCCTGTCTCTGGTTTTCACTTTTCTTTTTTTCGTTTTATCTTTCCCTGGGTGGGCTTGGGACTGTAATATTCGTTTGGAATCAAACCGAAATCCCCTCCCTAGCCCTTTGGGGAACTGCTTTACTCAAACATAAATACCCCCTTTCCCCTTCTCCCAATTCAGCAGTTAAAAGACAACCTACAACCTCTGCTATTTCCCTCTCTTCACGTACCTCGAAGCTCTACATCTCTTCACAAGACAGAAAGCTCCAAGCTTTACCAAACCCGGCAATGGCAGGGATCGTGGTGGTTTTCGACTTCGACAAGACGATTATCGACGTGGACAGCGATAATTGGGTGGTAGATGAACTTGGTTTCACTGATTTGTTCAATCAGCTCCTGCCCACCATGCTTTGGAACTCCCTCATGGTTCGTCCTCCCATGGCGTTTTCCCTCCCATTTCTTTGCACTCGGGCCATTCATTTAACTATCATCTCTTTTTATTTATTATTATATATATTTGTATCTCTGTTGTTGCAGGAGAGGACGATGAAGGAGATTCATGAACAGGGGAAGACCATCGACGACATCGTTGGAGCTCTCAAACGCGTCCCAATCCACCCTAGGGTTGTTACCGCCATCGAATATGTTCATGCCTTGGGGTAAATTCCGTACTTCTTATTTTTACCTTTCCTCTCACTGTCTTGCTGTCTTGTACTCTTGTTTGGTTTCCGGGGAAAATACGGTGACTTTGTGGCTCACGTGTACTCTGTTTTTTTTTTATTGACCTGTCTTGTCAGGTGTGAGCTAAGGATTGTGAGTGATGCGAATTTGTTCTTCATCGAGACGATTTTGGAACATCTTGGATTGAGAAATTACTTCTCTGAAATCAACACCAACCCAGGATTTGTGGATGAACAAGGACGGCTGAGGATTTCTCCTTACCATGATTTCACCAAATCTTCCCACGGTTGCACCCTATGCCCTCCCAACATGTGCAAGGTAACACTTGTTTGTTTGGAACCTTTTTTTTTTTTTTTTTGTCTGGTTTCTGTCTCATAATTTAATTTAGTTTTAATCGTTGTCGGCCAAAACTGGTCTAAGATGGTCAACATGTCTGCCTCAAATTCAAATGTGTTGATACAGTGTCATCCTTAACAGAGAGGCTTAAAGTAAATGAACAGCAATTGACGATTCGTAGAATCTCCAATGTCACCGATCGCCGCCATACTTTCATCCCAGTTCCTACATACATGCGCTACCCACAAAGCTCAATTTTTTATTTTTTAAATTGTAATATTGTTTTGTAGGGATTGATAATTGAGAGGATCCAGGCAACCATAGCCAAAAAAGGGGGCAACAAGAAGTTGATCTACCTAGGAGATGGAGCAGGAGATTACTGCCCAAGCTTGAAGCTGACTGAGTTGGATTATGTGATGCCAAGGATGAACTTCCCAGTGTCGGAATTGATCAGTAGGAATCCAATACTGATCAAGGCAGAGATCCATGAATGGAGCGATGGGGAAGATCTTGAGCATGTGTTGCTTGAAATTGTTGAGAGGATTACTAAATCGTCGGATTCAATTGCTTTGTTAGCAGCAGCAGCAGCTAATAGCAATGACTGCAAGTTCCAGACGATTGCTGTTGCAGCAGCTCCATTCCCTCCAAGGCCTCTCTCAGTACCTCAGTAGAGAGTATAGATTCTGAGTTGGAGTTGTGTTTTGGGTTTCATTAACAGTCTGATGATTTCCTTTCTTTGACAAGAAAACATGTCACTTGATTTGTTAGAGTCTGCGTGATGTGATTTCTTTCTTGCTCACTTAATTGGGCAAAGCAAAGAGAAGTTTATTAGTATTCTTATTATTACCACTCTGTGTTAGTTAAACTCTACCCTTTGGCGAGAAGAGGAATGGAATCCGAGGGAACGGATCAGGTCAGTAACCTTATGGTGACTAACCATGAGTAACCAGCCCATATCAGCATGACATCAGCATCCTCTCTCTTGGAAAGTCTTTAATTTTCCCCTCTTTAATCTTTGATGAACGATTTTTCACTCATTTTAAGTCGAAATTTAATTTTTTTTGCACAGTTAGATCAGATCAATTGTGCTCTTCAAAATGATATCCACTTTAATATATTTTTCGAACAAAAAAAATTGAGCCATTTTTTACCAGTCTATACCATATGGTATTGACCGGTATTGAAATAAAAGCATACCTATGGTTTGAAAAACGTACCATGGTGGTATGAACAAACCAAGACTGTAGGATGGTTGAATACATGATAGTAGAAGTATATTAATTGTCATTTACGACTTTTAACATTGTATACCACACAATACCACCCCGTACCAGGGTGGTATTGTATAGTATTGTGTGGTATTTTTTTGTCCTGTAATTTGTTCACCCAGAAATTTGTAGATCCAATAGATCATGATGAACTCGTCCCTTCTGTGCAAACGTTTTCAAAAACGAATTAAAAACGAAGAAGATACCATACAATACCACCCCGTACCAGGGTGGTATTGTATGGTATTGTGTGGTATTTTTTGGTCCTGTAATTTGTTCACCCAGAATTTTTTAGATCCAATAGATAATGATGAACTCGTCCCTTCTGTGCAAACGTTTTCAAAAAACGAATTAAAAACGAAGAAGATACCATATGGTATGCAGTTGGTACCGAGAGGCCAGAATTTTTTTTCTAAAAAAATATTGAAAATTGTTCTCATTTGGTAGAGCACGATGAACTCGTTCCATCTGTGCAAAAAAAATTAAAATCCGAGTTAAAACGAAAAAGATATGAGCCGATTAAGAAAGCTAGGAAACATAAAAATGGTCCTTAATTTTCTTTCCTTAGATCTGGATTTTCTAAATGAAGGGTCTAGATTTGGTTATTGATGGATGCATAACCCATGGTTATGCACCCTATCTTGAGCCGAATCCGACTGTGAAACAAGAACAAAAATATGTATTTACATTAATACTAGAAACTGACCGCACCATATTGATAACCTCTCCTCTCACTTTCTATACTGCGGCCCGTATTGATGTATGGAGCTCATTTGGATTTTTAGTTCGCCATAAGTGAACAACATTAAAAGTGAATAGGTTTTTTATTATTATCAATATTAAAGTAATACATAATTCAAGAACAGTGGCATAACTAAATAATAATTATTATTATTTGCTTCTCTTTTGTTTCTTTTCCTGTCACTTGTACATAGAGGTGTGCAACGGTTCAGTTCGTATCGAACTACACGAGATCAAATCGATGATTGGGGATAATTCAAGCGATCTTGGAGGTAATGGGTTTTGGTTGTGGTGAGTTGAGATTTGGTGTGGGTTTTTTGGCATGAGATTCTGGCTGGGGCACGCTGGTGGTGGAGGGGAAGAGAAAGCAACAGTGGGGGGATGTTGCCGCCAATGAATGTTGTTCTTAGGGTATGTGTTCTGGCAGTGGCGGATTCAGAAAATTTTCACAGGGGTGTCCTTTTCAAAAGTTAAATTTAATTAAATAATTCGTATATTAAAAATATCATACTTGTATTAATTTTTTATTAAAATTCATGATGCGTTTTCATATTTTAAAAAAATAATATAAATAAACTCCGTGTATGCACTGTTAAAAAAAATCTACATATCCTACTAGACAATACTTCACGAACTTATCACATATTCGATTTATAACCTTGTTCTTAATGTAGCTCAAAGTAGAAAAGACTTTTTCAACACTTGCCGTGTAACCATAAAATCAATTCAAAATTAAGGGTAGCATGTACGTAGTTTAATTATTAGGTATTGAAAATAGTTGGGGATAAAGAAATAGCGTTTTACTGTTGCATGATGTTTAAAATAGAATAACAAATGAGTAGCAACATAATTAGAATATGTTTGATAATAGTAGTGTCCTAGGTTGGAATAACACGGACTACCACTTATATTTTGTTAATCATAAGCAAACTATTATCGAGGGTAGGATAATCATTTTTTCAAATGTTAGGGTGTCCCGGATTACCAATTATATTTTGTATACCCATACAAAACTACTACCGAAGGTTGGATAATCGTTTCCCTAAATTTTAGGGGTGTCCAGGGTAGGATAATCATTTTTTCAAATGTTAGGGTGTCCCGGATTACCAATTATATTTTGTATACCCATACAAAACTACTACCAAAGGGTGGATAATCGTTTCCCCAAATTTTAGGGGTGTCTCGGGATACCCCTACATGCCCATGTATCCGCCCCTGGTTATGGGGTGTGAACGTGTGCGTTGGTGGCAGTGTTTCTGGTGAAAGCCAGAGGAGGGAGGAGAGACAGAGGCAAGTGTGGAGAAGATGTGGGGCGGCTGGGGAGAAGAGGGGAGAGGGGATTTTTTAGTTTTTATTTTCTATTTTAGAATTTATTTTTATGATTTGTTTTATTGGACGCTTATGTGGATGTTGAGGTGGACGCTGAGATGGAGTATCGTTAAGAAATACTTAACGATAACATAATGATAGCTAGTATTTTGATCATTTACAATACGTTTGGCTAATTAATAGTATTTCAATAAGTTTGGCTAAAATAAAAAAAATCCGGAAAAGGTTTGACTAATAAATAGTCATTACCCAAATAATAAATAACCTTTAATACTCACAATTATTAATTTAGAATAATAAAAGGGTATATCTGTGGTGACTACACCCTTGGAGAAAGTGGTCATCACTTTTGGTAACCGGTTTACTGCTTTCGAAAAATGATCGACCGAATGACATACTTAATTTATACTTACATTTAAAAAGTAATTGGCAAAATTAAGCCTACAGTATGAAATTTTATTGTAGTAATGCAGCATCTTGTCAGCCATGAGCAACAAAATCCCTAATAAAATTATAGATCTACACAAAAGAAATAATACCATCTTTTAACACTTTTGGAATAGAATTCACAAAGCAAGATGATACAATTGTATAACAATGATACCATTCTTTTTAAGTTTATCCATAACAACAATGGCAATAAACTTGATACATCAAAAGACTACTATAGAACTACTAAAACAAGCAAAATTAGAATTTCAAGTGAAAATTAAAGTCATCATAGAGTAAGTCAAATAAAAAAAAACAAATGCGCATATCAGTTTCTAAAACTATGGGAGAACAATCGTCCGAGAAACTTGTCATACGTACTCTAAACTTTGTACTCAAAAGTCAGATCTGTGCGCTTGCAAACCTCTAAAATCATTCATTTAACATCTAGGAAGGCGTTCTTGTAGCAGAGATTTGGTCGCCTCGTCCACTACAAGACCCTAAAATCATTCATCTACCCTTCATCTGCCAGTTGGCACTATCCATTCTATCTCTAAAACTCCTACAAAGTGTTAGCTCATCATATGCTATTAGAGAAGGTTGGGGCGACTTACCCATGCATAATTAAGCATAAATGAAGTATATAATCACTAGAACAAACACAACCATTCATAAACCCTAACAGAAATCATTCATCTACATTATAAACTTAATATAGGGTTAGGGGGTTTTAACCCCTAGTACCTTGAGAGATCACCCCATGAAAGGTGGGGGGGGGGGGGGGGGGGGGGGGGAAGAAATGGTTCTTCAATTGATGGAAGTCCTCCTCCACTTCTTCTCCAATCTTCTACTTCTATCTCTAATCTCTCTCTAGAATAAAAAATCTACTAAAAGCCATCTATGCAAGGGAATGAGGTTCCTATTTATAGAATTATGAGATTTTGATCAAGTTCACGGCTGTGCTGAGAAAGATCGTGGGCGTGAACTTGAGGCATGAGGTTGCGATCTTCATCCTTTGTCGTTTCGTTCTTTTTCTGAGGGGGAGATCGCGAGCTGAATTCACTGTCGTGATTTGTGAGTCACGACCGTGATCTTTCTTGCCAGCTAGGAAGACGTAGTTCGACAGATGATAGGCGAAAACTCTATGCTTCTTTTGTGCTTGCCACTTAAAGATCGTGCGTGGTCTCTTTGCTCCCTTTGGAGCAATCTCAACTCCATCTTCGCGCCCTCTTTTCCCGACCATGATCTTCTGGGTTCGGGGCGTGATCTTTATCTTTTTAGTACCTAATCCACACGTGTTGTCTAATACACCCTAATATGATGATTTAATTCAAGAGGAACAAAATAGGGCTATATTCGACAATATATTAATCATTATGCACGTAAAATGAATCAAAATGAACCTAGATAAGAGGTATAAATATCACCAATTTGGGTGTTATGAACTTCCCCCACACTTAGGCGTTAGCTTGTCCACAAACAAATCTACTCAAACCAGTACAACAGTACAACTTGAAACAACCCAATCCTTTTGAAAACCAAACTGTAACTCAAAACAAAAACCGGTTACTCCGGAGCAATCGAAACCACTCTTAAAAATAAACAAACTGACATTATTTAAGAATTTTAAACGAAAAGCCCTAACATTTGGGCGATCACAATCCAAATTCTTAAAACAACTTAACCTTGAATCTCCAGTTTATACTTCTAACCATGCAACGAAGTAATTAAACTATTCTAGCTCTGACTCCTCCCGAGCTCCTTAACCTCTCATCAATGCTGGTACGGCTGCTCGCCTCGCCTTGCTTCTTCTCAGGATCCACCTCGACTAACCTTCCTCCACCAGGTGAGTGAGAAGGGGTCAGTCTCGTCGTTACTTCCTAAGGTCTTTGCCTTAAGTAAAAGCTTACTAATATATTATAAGAAATTTCTTCCTCTTACATGAAAGTCATTCTCGCTTTCATCCTTATCCTTTAATCTTCTATAATTCTAGAAGTTATATGCTTCTATGCTAACTTATAGACTTATTACTAGGGAATCACCGCGTTACGTATCGCCGTCCGGTGTCCCTATCCTCAAGGCAATGGTACTGCGTTACGTATCGCTATCCAGTCCATGCCCGGTCTACTACTGCATTACGTATTGTCGTCC